GGTGCATTAATTTTATTAGGTGTAGGAGATACCTGGTAATTTCATTCAGGTCAGAATTGCATACGTAAAGTATTAACATCTACGGCCTTCAATTTACAAATTTTTGCAAGTCACTCACTTAAATTATGAACTTAGTTTAAGCTAATAGTTGATATCCAAGAATTAAGGATTTTAAAGTTCAGTTGGGCAATAACTAATATCAATTTTGCGTGTTAAGCCTAGTGCTCAAGGCTAGTGCTTAAGCCTAGCCTAGTCAATGTTCATACACAATATTGTAAATTTACACAAGTGTTTTTAAAAGACCAATTAATAAATGTTGGTACTGACGCGTTACTCTTTTACACACCTGTGTCTACCATAGAGCCCGTCGTCGTAGTACTGTTGATAACCGTGGCCGTACGTGGGACGATACCCGTAGTTGTCCTGGTAGTAACCTTGGCCATACACTGGTTGGTACCGACGATCGTGAAAATATTGAGCCGTCGAGAAGTGTAGTAGAGCCATGAGCACCAGCAGGAGAACCAGGCTCTGAAAACAGCCATTTAGTCAAACATAAAATTAAATACATTTTAAAATACACTATTAATAATCATCGAATACTACAAATAATTTAAAGTCATAATATACTTACAACACAACGCATAGTAAACATTATGGATACACAGACAACACTGAGAGTCTCCCAAGCTGTACTGACGCTCCACAGCCAAGTGACCCGGTTATATATGCTCCGCCAACACAAGCGGGACCCCGAACAAGCCAGGCTAATGTTGGCTCCAGCCGTCTCGTTTATGAGGGTCGAAACCTCGACCACACGTCTCCACAAACCAACCAATGGTATTCAGTCACAGGCAAACAAGGCAGTCAACGCCTGTCGGTTCCTTGTTGAGGTGTTGGACCCATTATCTGCCCACATGTTCCCATTCCCCATTGACTCTCCAAAATTATTAGTAACAAGAACCATGATATGGTACATATCATGGAACCATGATACAGTAATATGGGAACTCTCTCACGTGGGTATAGTAAGATATTCTCTTCGTTCCCCCTACTTTTTCAGTCGCCCATTCAGTGTTCTGCGGCCCGTAACGTTTTGAGCAAATGGTATACAGTGTGTTCCATTTCTCTCCTCCCGAATGTCCTACTTTGTCTTCCTGATCTTAAACACCTGTTGGACTCCTTGCCAGAGCTTGTGCTCCTTTTGGGTGATTTTAACTATCGGCATACCCTCTGGGGTGATGTTCTGACAATCACCCGCGGCCGTCTTCTTGAACCTTTTTGTCCTCTGTTCTTCTCTGTCTCTTCCGAATTCTGGTGTACCAACTCATGTTGACTCCCGCACTTGTACCCTTTCCTGTCTTGATCTTTCTCTCTGCTCGTCTTCTCATTATTCGGACTTCACCTCGCGGTTTTTTGATGACCTACATAAGTGACTATTTCCCAGTCCTTGTCACCTTCTTCTCTTTTCGCCCTCCTTCCCTAGGTGGCAGTTTGCCAGGGCTGACTGGAACCTCTTCACTGTGCGTGCTACTCTTTCAGATCTCTGCTCTACCTGTGCCCCCGAGCTCTCCTCCTCTTTCATGACACTGTTTTTGATGCTGCCCTCTGCTCTGTTCCTCGCTCTACCTCCCGGCACGCGGAAGTGCGTTCCCTGGTGAAATGCAGACTGCTCGGGTTGTCCGCTGTAAGCGTGCAGCCTGGAAGAAACATCGTTGCCGTAGGACGCTCGTTTCTTTTGTTTTGTTTTAGTTTCGGAGGGCAAGATGGCCATACTGGCCATCCGTATAGCTAAACGTGAGGGTTGGAGATCTTTCATTTCCACCATTACGTCTGACACTCCTCTGCCCCTGATCTGGAAGAAAATCCTCAAGATAGCGGGTAAGCTTGATAGAGATGTCTCACCAGTCCTTCACCTCCATGGTTCTATTGCGGAAGATCAGGTGACGGTCGCGACCGAACTGGGTTCTCACTTTTCGACTGTCAGCTCAGGCTCTCATTCCCCCCCCTTCTTTCCTTACCCTTAAGCCCCTTTTTGAATCTTCTCCTTTATCCTTTTTGCACTTCTATTCAGCTTCCCTATAACGATCCTTTCTCTCTCTCAGAACTCCAGTCTGCCCTGGCCCTTTGCGGTTCAACGGCGGCGGGCTTGAATGGTATTCATTATGAGATGCTTCGCCATCTCCCTCCGTGCACGTTTCAGTTTTTACTGAGTGTTTATAACCGTGTCTGGGAGTCGTCGTCAGTCCCTGAGAACTGGCTTGACTGGTTCTTCCTATTCGGAAACCTGGTTCTCTAGGATCATCCCCTAAAGACTTCCGCCCCATTGCTCTCACGAGTTGCATCTGCAAACTCTTTGAGCGTATGCTCAATGTCCGTCTGATGTGGTTCTTGGAACACAATCACCACCTCTCCCCTTCTCAATTTGACTTTTGCAAGTGTCGGAGCACGACTGATATCCTCGTCAACTTGGAGGTCTATATTCATATTGCCTTTGTTGCGAAGACCTCCGTTGTTGTTTTTTTCTTTTTGATCTGAAAAAGGCGTATGACACCACCTGGCGATACCATATTCTGTCCCAACTCCATTATTTTGGTCTTCGTGATAATCTCCCTCTCTTCCTCCAGAGCTTCCTCTCTCATCGGTCCTTTCGGGTGAGGCTTGGTACCACTCTCTCTGCCTCTTTTCGGCAATATGAAGGTGTGCCCCAAGGTAGTGTTCTGAGCACTACTCTCTTTCTGGTTGCCCTCATTGGCCTTCTCTCCTCCCTTCTCTGACATTTTCTCCGCTCTTTATGTTGACGATCTTACCCTTTGCAGTCAAGGTGATGACTCGCCTTTCCTCCAACGGCGGCTTTAACTTGCGATTGATGCCGTGTCGTCAAGGGCCAATACTCATGTCTTCAAGTTCTCTCCGGCTAAGACTTGTGCTATGACTTTTACTCGGAAGCAGGTCGTCTTTCGACACCCTCTGTCGCTTTATGCTAATCCTCTTTCGTATAAGGATTCTGCTAAACTTCTGGGTTAATCTTTGACACTCGCTTGTCCTAGTCACCCGATATCTCCTACCTTCCGAGTTGAATGCTCTAAGGTCCTTAACTTACTTAAGGTCTTCTTCCATACATCCTGGGAAGCTGATAGGCGCACGCTAAACTCGTCTAAACGTCTAAACTCGATTATGGCCGTCCTGCTTACTCATCTGCCTCTCCCCTCTCCTATCGTCGTCTTGATGCTCTTCATCATTCTAGACTCCGTCTTAGCTCTAGTGTCTTTCGTTTGTCCCCTACCCAGAGCTTGTATGTTGAGACCGACGTCCTGTCTTCACAGGAACGAAATGATCGGTACTGTCTTCGCTGCTTTGCGCGGTCCTTACAACACCCCTCACACTCGCTTATGTCGTCTATGGGCTCTGTTCCCTTTCACCACCGTCCCCTTTCTGTACAGTTGTCTTGCTTGCTAGGTTCTTTCTCGGTCGCGTTGCCAAAGTTTCTCCTCGTGTCATTCCGTCCTTGTCCCCATGAAGAGTCCCTCTTCCTAAGTTTTATAGAAATTTGACCTGCATGACTAAGGCTTTTACCCCTTCTACAGTTCTGAAACGCGTTTTCCTTGCTTACTTTTCTTCACACGCCCGCTCCATCTCCGTCTTTACAAATGGGTCCAAGTCGGTTGACGGTCTGTTTACCAGTCTCCGTGGTGTAGTGGTAAAACACTCGCCTGGCGTTCCGCGAGCGCTTTGTCATGGGTTCGTATTCTGGCCGGGGAGGATTTACTGGGCGCAAATCCTTAACTGTAGCCTCTGTTTAACTCAAGAGTAAAATGGGTACTTGGCTGTAAAAACGATTCTTCGCGGCATGGGTTGTATTCCAAGGACTTGCTCGAAACGCTACGTGTACTAGTGGCTGTACAAGAATGTAACAATTCTTGTATATATCTCAAAAAAGGTAAAGGCTACTCCGTTGTGCTTCCTGACCACACCTTTATGTGTCGCCTGCCTCCGGAGACTAGCATTTTCACGGCTGAGCTTAATGCAATTTTTTTGCTCTTCGTTAACTGGTTTCTCGCCGTTTTTCTGCCTTTTTTGGTTGTAGTTGACTTTCGCCGCGCCCTCATGGCTCTGGAGTCAATTAATCCTGTAAATCCTGTGGTCATCGAAATTCAATATTGGATGTTTCTTATCTCCAGCAGATTTAAGACAGTCGAGTTTTGCTGGGTTCCCAGCCATATTGGGGTGTCCTAAAATGAGCGTGTGGACGCTGCCGCTACGGAAGCTATCCGCACTTGTCCCATCTCCCGTAAAGGTATTCCATATTTCGACTTCTACCCAGTTATTCATTCCTCCATCCTTGCCCGTTGGCAGAGTCGTTGGTCTTCTGTTGCTGGTAACAACCTGTGTGATTTTAAGTGTAGTGTTTCCCCCATGGCCTTCCTCCTACCTCTGTAACCGGCGGTGGAAAACAGCTCTGGCGAGGTTACGTATTGGCCATACACGCTTAACTCACGGGGACTTATGACAATAAGGAGCGCCGCTTTATTCCTTATTGTCCCAATTACATTGTCCCTCTTACTGTCGTGCATATCCTTGTTGAATGTCCTGACTTCTAGGATGTGCATGCGTCTTGCTTCCCGACTGTCCCTCACAGTCACCTGTCCCTCGATAGTATCCTTGGTGAATCAGATGCTATTGATGTTGTTTGTCTTATGCGCTTTTGTTCTCATATTGCTATTGTGACGGGTTGTGGTATCGCAGCTATACTGAACCAAGATGGTATGGCTCTCCCGCACATAATAAACAAAAATGCTGCTATTGGCCCCCGCAGTGTGTAAGTCGCAGGTGGAAACAAATAAAAATCAAATAAATAATTAAACAAATTACTGAAATATTAATGAACATAAATGCCCCTGAAAATACTTGTCTCTCATGTAATGCAAAAGTGAACAAGTATGATCTTAAATGTAAAAATAAACTACAGTATAAGCAATGAAGAAAAGCATAAAGATATACTGGTGTACTGAAGACAGCTACCATACCATTAGAAACAGAGCAATGCAAAAGATGTACAGTGACCACAACACAGCAGTTGCAACATTAGGATCTGCGGTTTGGTACAAGAATTCAACTAACTACGAACCACTTAGTTTGATGAAAGGGAGCAGTAGAACAACAGAAGTGCACTTACATCGCATCAGGCTTGGATACCCATGTGCATGGGAAATAGGCTTACAGGTTCCGGAAGATGAGAGGAAATGTCAACACTGTGGAGAAATGCCCGACAGACCACTGGAACATTATCTAACACAGTGCACAGTTACAAACCCATTAAGATTTCAACTTAGATTCAACAGAGCAGAAGAAGTTGTTAAACACATATGGCAAAATCTTACTGAAGCGACCATACGAGTCATAAATACTCATACTCCTCCCATGTAAAACAGAAACAAGCAACACTTAGTGGGCCAGCCAGAGGCTTAGGGCCCGCGCAGAAATATCCCTGCAAAAAAAAAAAAAAAAAAAAAAGCTACCATACCACCATGGCATCAATCACACGACGTTGGCTGAAGGCGGACGACGGGTGAGAGACACGTAGGTGATCCTAGAGCACTAAGGGAGAGACTGACTCTCCAGGGTTGTTGTTGTTGTTTAAGATTCACTACCTGGAACAAAAAGTTCCAAGCAGCACAGGCTATGGCGAGCCCGTAGCTCTCCAGGGATGCGGCGCCCTTTATATAGTCCGGCGGTGATGACTCCTCCAGTGTCACCACAAGGTGGACATCTGGTCAACTAACAAACTGCTCGTTATAGCTAACGGTGCCTTTGTGTTGAGCTGCACCACTGCCAGTTGAAGGCGGCTAACTGCTAGTT